AAATCAAAGCTGAATAAACAGGCTATCTGTTTTATTAAGTCACTTTGTTTGAAAAAATTTTTCCGAACCCGTAGAGCGAAAAAAAAATCAAAAATTTGGAAAATTATTTTTTCGCTCTATTTGGTGTTGGGAACTTACACAGAAAGAAAATTTTCTTGACTGGAGAAAAAATTTCTTGGCTCAAGTAAATTTTCGGTCGCCCGAAGGAAGACCGAAGTTGTGTTGGCCGAAGTAAAAATTTTTCTTGAAATTTTATTCTTGGTGGAAGTAATTTTTTCTTAATTCAAATTATCATAAATACTTGATACAAGAAATTTTTATATTTGATCAAGATTTTTAGATACTTTAGGGAAGCAGCGCCACCTACTTTAGCTGAGAAAAAAATTATCTCATCTTGCGAAAATTTTTCTCTTGAATATTTGATACCCATTTTAGATTATTTTAGCGCGCAATTATACATATTGAATGAAAAAATATGATTCAATATTATTTGATCTTCCCATTTGACATGTTATTCAATAGAAATATTAATGAAAATTTACTATCTAGATATTTAATTTTTTGGAGCAAGAGAAAAATTTTCTCAAGACAAGAAAATTTACTTCTGTCAAGAACTTAATTTTTTGGAGCAAGAGAAAAATTTTCTCAAAACAAGAAAAATTTTCATGACTTAAATAAATTGTCTTGGATCAAGAAACGTATTTCTTGAAGCAAAAGAATTGATTTGTTGGAATAAGTGAAATTTCTTGTGTCAAAAAAAAATTTTTTTTTCGCCCAAGTAAATAATTATGAAGAAAAATATTTTCTTGGCTCAAGTGAACCTTTCTTTCTGTGTATATATAATCGCATATAATTATATATAATTGAATATAATTATACATGATTATATATAATTATGCCAGGCCATTTTTTATATATAATCATATATAATTATATCCAATTATATATAAATTTTTTTACTCGGGTTTCCAACAGTGAAAGAATTTTTCAAATCGGTTCAGTAGTTTCAGAGTCTATTCAATGCAAACAAACAAACAAACAATCAAATCTTTCTTTATAATATTAGTATAGATGAAAACAAAGACCACTCTTTACTGAAAGCTGTTGAAGATAGAATCCAAGAGTTTTTTAAAAGTCAAAATGTCAGCCGAAAATTACCCGGCAAAAAAGAATACAAATCTATTATTGAAAATGGTCAACGAGTGCAAAAACAAAAACGGTCAGTATTGGGTAACAACCGAAATTTACCAATCGTTTAAACAAAAATACCCATTTGATAAACTAGATTTTTCAAAATTTGCGAGTTTCAGACCATCTGAATGTGTTTTTGCTGGTGCATCTGGTACTCACGTAGTATATTCATTTGCCTTATTCACGAAAATTTTAAACTTTCATTTGATGGTGCAAAACTTGGAAAATTGAAGCTCGAAAATGAAAGCCAACCGTTATCTTCATATCGGGATTAAATCAAAATGTTTATCTGTCAACCACCAACGAATGACTGCTACTTTGGAAAATGTAATAAATGTCCTGGCTCAACAAAATTTAGGAATACAGTACAAAATCTTCTCAGTGAGAATTTTTTAGATGAAATTACATGTCAACAATGGACTCAAGTAGATCAGTGTTCCTTTGAGACAATTATTAAAACAAGTGACTATTTTGTAGTGTAACGGGATAGTTTTACCTTACCTGTTCATCTAGCCCCTTAATTAATTTAATAAAAAACAATAACTAACAAAATGATTCTAAATTAAAAAGGGCGCCACCAGGATTTTATAACACGGTTCCTGGAACCGGAACCAGAGCTGAGCTTAATATCTACAGGGAGAGAGAGAGTGGAGGAAGGTGATCTGAAATGAATAAATTTTTATTTAACAACGGTACCAAAATTTATTTAACAAAATAAAATAACAACTTGTACACTCGCACATACACTAGCTCACTTAAAACTACAGCCTAACTGTCGGCTGACCAGACCAACTTAAAACTAAATTAATGCTACAGCCTAACTGTCGGCTGACGAGAACCAAAATTCACTCCGCACAAAGACTGCAATGTGACGGAGGTCGTTGTAGCCTAACTGGCGGCTATCCAGAGCCAAAAACCAACTTAATACTACAGCCTAACTGTCGGCTGACCAGAACCAAAATTCCCTCTGCACAAGGAACGCACTGTGTGACAGAGGTCGTCTATAGCCTAACTGGCGACTATCCAGTGCCAAAACCTATACCTAACCACCCGACGAGTCACCTCGAACAAGGAACGCGCTGTGCACGAGGGCTCGTCACAACAACCGGCTACAGAAGCCTCGGACTAGTGAACGCAACGTAACCCAAGACTATCTGCAGCTAATTCTCATAACCCCCACAATTTTCCACACACATAACCCACACTTCTTCACACACACACTGAATCTACTTTACTTTTATTTTTCTGACTCATAAAAGTTATTACAAAAATTTAATTCCAAAAATTATCACCTTAACTTTTACCAAAATTAATTTCCAAAAATATTACATTAAATTTTTGCTTAATATTTTCAGTCATTAGCTAGCAAATAAAACCATAAATTATTTCCACAATTAATAATTTACCTCTCAAAAATTCCGGACTAAACCCGACGCCTAAACTTATTCCCAATTTACCACGAGTTTAATACTCAGCATAAAAGAAATTTCCGGAACATTCGACGCATCAATTTATTTCAATTTTTACTCGGAATTGAATTATTAATTATATGAAATATTCTTATAAAATTTCATTAATCAGTTTTAACTAACTAAAACTCCCGGATTTAATATCCACGTAATTGAATAAATTCTAAAGAATTTTTATAAGATCAATCAGTGAAAGATTATCTGCGGTTGAAGCTAAGAATCGTGCCCTTGGTGATAGGGTAATTACACTGGAAGAAAAAGTTAATAGTAACACGGATAAGATAAATGCATCTGGAAATCTGCCACAGGGTGATGAGGAAGTTATCTTTGAAGAAATTGAGGAACGGCTTACTAGGCGTAATAACGTTATACTATTCAACTTTCCTGAATCTGCACACACGGATATTGAGTCCAGATCCACAGCGGACTCAGTTCTTCTCAACAAATTCTATTCGGCTCTTGATGTTGATGTGCCCTCTTCGCAGTTCCGTATCGGTAAATATTCTCCAGCTCTTAAAAAACCGAGGCCCCTGAAAATTATGTTTTCTAAGGCAAGCCACCCTGATTTAATAATCCAGAACTTCATAAGGGCCAAGAAAGCCAGGCAACTTCCTCCGGATCTCAATCTGGACAACGTGATAATAACGCACGATCGAACCCGAAGACAACAACAACAGCAGAGGAACACTCGGGAGGAACTTCAGCATCGTATTGCGGATGGGGAGAACAATCTTCGTCTAGTGACGAGGCGTGGCAGGACGATCATCCTTAGTAAGCCTCCTCCTCGTCAGGGACAAGAATAGAGCGCTCTTCAATCCTCCAATCCTTCAATTTTTGAATGCCTCGTACAAGCAAAATTATATCTATTACCAGAATGCTAGAGGATTTAATTCTAATTACGTTATGTATTATATTACACTTTTGTCATTGATTATGATGTTTACATTCTCATTGAAACTTGGCTTAACAGTAGTATTTTCTCCTCAGAGTTATTTGATATTAAGTAAAAACTGTTGATAAATGAATGACAAATAAACATATAATTAAGCATAAAATTAATAAACCTTTCAGTCTGGCTGATTATACTACATACTCTCAGTATTTGACACACTAGCATCACCAAGAATTCAACAATGTAAGCTTATCATAATCATTTCTAAGAATGAGTAACTATCTTTTGATTCTATTATTTTATTTTTTGTTTTATTTTGTACTTTCCTTTAGCTTATGGTAAAAACTTTGAATACACTGATTAATTAATTAATTAATTAATTTAAGGAAATAATTAGCATTTAAGAATTATAGCCCTGTTATTGGCCCTCTGGGCTGTTGGGTTTAAATAAAAGAAATAAATAAATAAATAAGATGATGAAATTAAAATTATTAACTATATATTTTCCAGGACTTAATTTCAATATATAAAAAAAATTAACCGCGTGGAATTTTTCGACTAGATAACTAATTAACAAATAAATTATCTCAATGTAAAATAAATTACGAAAAATTATCCACGGGTATTTCAATCTTAAATTGCGCCGAAATTTCAATAAATAATTTTCAATAATAAAAATAATAATTTCCAGTTAATAATAAAATAATAAATAATTATTTCATTGTAGTAAATAATATTAGAAATGATAATTCAATTGTTGTAATTTTTATAGTAATAGTTCAGTTATTAAAATTTATAAATTACTGCGTAATATAATTGCCAGGAATTTGCGCGCTCGAAATGGACGCCGGCATTCGTAAGTGCGTAGAAATGCTTTGACCTCGGGTATGCGACCGACGCTTGACCGATCTGTGAGCTGGCGATTAGAATTTTCTCGATATTCAGAATTTAGGTTTTATTTTATTAATAAAAATCAATTTATCTAAACCAATCTTAAGATGTTAATAATTATTAACCGGCCAAATAAATAAATTAATTTCTCACGACTTATTAAAACAGGGAGGTCTCGAACATTCCTCGGGTATAAACCCCCAAGAAGAATGCTCACAGCAACTAACGAATGCTAAACACTGAATTTAACGAATTGTTGAATTACTAGCAATTAATTATGTAATTATTAATAAATTAATTATTATCCCAAGTAACATGTGCTTGAGCAAGATTTTGGTGCCAGCGTCTTGAGCAAAACCCCTAGTTGCTAGTGTCTTTTTCTACATATGGGTCTTGCTCAAGTTTATTTAAAAAGACATGGTTCAAGATTTAACTAGCTCAAGACATCTTGTGCAAGAATATGAGACAAGTCTAAAGCAAGGTGCATTGAAAAACTTTCTGACGCATTTTTTGTACCAGAAACTCACAACAAAGACTTACCCATGAGTTGCTCAAGATTTGCTCAAGATCCATAATTCTCAGAAATCCACTGATTCTATACTAAATATAGGAGGGGTAGAATGACGCGAACGTTCATTCGAAAACATTTTATCTTGAGCAAATCTTAAGCAACTCTTGCACAAGTATATTTAGCATGCTTCTGGTGTCAGTCTTTCTCAAGACGAGCTATAATCTGGCCCAAAGATCTTGTACAAGGCTTGTAAATTAAATTTGCTACAAGTATCTGGAGCAAGACCCATAGGTAGAAAAAGACACTAACAACTATCGAAATTGAGACCAGATTTGCTCAAGCCTTGTAAAAGATTGCTATATGGGTACTAGACAATTGAATTACTCAAAATAATTATGAGAAGTACTAATTTGATGAGCCGAGTATTTAGCCCCGCGGCTCATCAATATCAAAGTCCTAATACCTGGTGTAAATTTGGCTTGAAGAATTCCCGGGCTTCCTTCTTGGACTTTTGGATGTTACTAGTTTGAGCACTTCACTACTTCTCCCGACACAACGCATGGCTCACCTATATAACGACCCCCTAAATACCCCCTCCTACTCTCTCTTTAGGCCCAAAGATCGATGCGCACAAATGCTAGTCGAAAAGTTATCGATCTCTGGCGACTTATCGATTAAGGGTAATTTACCCTGTTACAGTAGATTTAATAAAATCTATTCCAAAATTGGTTCAGCATGAATTCGTAGCTCAACAACAGGCAGAATATTTTCAGCTTACAAAAACAAACCTCAAAGTTGAACAAGTACTCGTTGTTGATTTTTCTGAAAATTATTCGTTTATAATCAAAATAGCATTCAAGGAGTACATTGGAATAATACACAGGCGACAATTCATCCATGTTCTTTTGCGCATTTACTGAGTTTTTCGGGTGTCTGAATTCGGTCATTTGTCGTTAGCTGAAGGTTGGATAATAATTATGGAAGGAAATAGGATTCCTATTAGTAGCCGACATGTCTTCGGAAGGTTCTGGGTTCGAATCCCAGTCCGAGCTATCTAATAATTTTTTCTCGCATATTCTATACACTCACATTAAGATAATCCTCTCCACAATCCTTTCTCAATCCTTTCCTACCAAAATCCTGTTACGTGAATGTTGGAACGCTTCACGTAATAATTATCCGTAACTCCTATTCTTTCCCGCTTCACAGCATAAACTATAACTAACTGAGCCGACCCCGTCTTCGCTAACACAACTCGCTCCGTCTGGGTAATGATTCGCCCCTTGGCTTCTTTGGAGATCCTAAACGTTGGACGCTCGAAAATCGACTCCCTAACGACTCGCTCAACTGACTCGAGCTAGGCCCCAAGCTCCCCACTCCGAGAATTAAGACAAACGACCGCGCCACCTAGTGCCTGAAAATGAAACTGACGAAGGCCGGTACGCAAGGCTTCTGCACGAGCACGAGTATATCAAAATGCACTGTTACCGATTTCATCGCGGTTGGCGCCATTCGAAAGGGCTTGACCAAACAGATTTTGAATACACTTTGGACCGATTCGGATCGGTAGATTTTGAGAAATCTAAAAAAATACTACAAAAAAAAATTTTTCAAATGTGGTTTTTTTTTAATAACTTTCAAACGGCTTTATCGATCGATTCCAAAAACTAATCAGCTCTCAACATCAAAAAACCACGTCGATTGCCACCAAGCTGGTCAAAATCGGTTGATTCGTTCGAGAGATATCGTGAACGAAATTTTCGAGATTACTCCGAAATTTTCGGTTCGATCAATTGAAACCTGAAAATCACTTATGAGGATGATAAAACTGCGTCGAATGGCGCCAACCGTGTGAAAATTGGTTGATCCATTCAAAAGTTATTGCGGTTTGAAAATTC